TCCTAATTTTTTATATTTACTTATTTCACTTCAGCCGATTACGATTGGTGGCGTACGCTACGTTTTAGCCTCTATGGTGGTATGTTCGTTGCGCCAACGCTGTACAGTTGGATCAAGGTATCCAGTGCCATGTGGCCACAAACCTCACTACAGACTGCTATTTTCAAAACCGCTGTCGAACAGATTTCCTACACACCCGCTGCCATGACATGTTTTTATTTCATAATGAGCCTGCTGGAAATGAAGACGGTGGGTGAAGCGGCGGCGGAGGTGCGCAAAAAGTTCATACCCACCTACAAGGTAAGAGAATAGAAAAAATTATAATAAGTATTTTATTTAATTTCGCATTGTACCTTCTATGCACCCACAGGTGGCAATGTCAATTTGGCCCATTGTTGGTATTATAAATTTTTCTGTCGTACCAGAGAAGAATCGTGTGCCTTTCATCAGTGTCTGTAGTTTAATGTGGACTTGCTTTTTAGCCTATATGAAGCATCTGGAGCATCACCATGTCGATGAAATCGATGGTATATTTGCGTCGAAGGAGACTAAGTTAAAATCTTAGTACAACTGCAATAGTTTTTATCTAAGCTGTACAAGTTTTTATAGTTAGGGTATTGAAAAAAAATCTGATTTCGAATGTAGAAACAAAGTATGTATTTATTTATACATTTTTCAAAATTACTTTCATTCGAAGGATTGAAGAAGAAAATGGAATCCTTATATTTTTTATAAAATTTAAGTTCATACAATTCGTTCTTAAATATCAAACAGTATTTCTTATCATGATGTTTGCAAAAAAGCCAAACCAAAAATTCTTTTATTATATTTTGTGTACCTTTCTTTTATTCGACTCTCTTTTAAATTTTATTTTATTTTATTAAATATGTACATATTTTCATTTTATTAAGTATGAAAAACATGAATGAAGGTATTTCAGAAACTAATTTAAGATATTAAAAGGTTTAAGATTATTTAGTTGATATAAAGTAGAAGCAAAAATTATACGTATTCAAATTATTCTTGAAAAATTGTATTTATAAACAATTAAATACAATCCTCGATGAAATTAAAAAAATATATATTTATTTTTTTTTATTGAGATCTATTGTATTAAATAGAATTTAAAAATAAATAAATTTTTCAACTCAACAGGGCCCGAATCATGGCCATCGTTATCGAATCGCGTTCGATTCGAAATTTCTTTTTCAGATTACGGCATTCGGTAGCGAGCTTGCTTTTTCAATTAAAATTGTATTAGAGAGAAAACGGCTGTAATTTTATTTCATTCGATTCGAATCGGGCTTGTTTCATTAATACGAATATGATTCAATCATTAATATTCCGTAGCCCGTAATTATGATCCACAGCCCGTCGTTTGAACTATGTTTCTGCTTTACTATTTGCAATAACACAGTGCTAGCAAAACTGTTTGCTTTTGACATTTCTATTTGACAACTTCAGCTGTCATTGTGTCCACACCTTTAATAGGGAGTTGTTCGTTTGTGTGTTTATTGGCAGCAAATTTTATCGAAGTTTAGAATTTAGTTTTTTTTTTGCATTAAAATTCAGTATTTTAGCTAGAGAACACAAATAAACTAAACAGCCGAGATGCGCAACTTTCTTAAGCAGCAGTCGCAAGACACTACGGACACCAGTATTGAAAAAGGCGACTACCCACGCGCCTCAAGTGAGTATTGCCCAGATGACTGTGGTGTGCTCGCTACGTACGGAGCACCNCTCAAGTGAGTATTGCCCAGATGACTGTGGTGTGCTCGCTACGTACGGAGCACCATTTTGTTGCAAAATATATATAAATATTTATAATATGTTATTAATTATAATTAAGATGGCGTTGTGCTGGCTAGTGTAGTCATATTTGCGGCGTCCTTTTTGCTCATGATGTCATTTTGCTCGCCCTACTGGATTGAGTCGTATGAGGAGACACACAGCAGCTTCAAGAATATGGGTTTATGGGAATACTGCTTCAAGAATTTCGTATATCCATACTACCAATTTCCGCGACAATTCAATGGCTGCCATAATATTTTCAGTCATGTAAGTTTCACTTAATTAGAGCCAATTAAAAACGAATACATATTAAAAATAAAATACAATTCTTCATTTCCTTAGGAATATTATGTTATTAGAGAATACCTGTTGCCAGGTTGGCTCATGGCTGTGCAAGCCTGTGCAACTTTGGCCTTCCTCTTGACATACACTGTGTTAACTCTATTATCTTTAGTTATCATACGCTTACCATTGAAGGGAATACTTCAGTACGAATGGTTATTGATACGCATTTCATACTTGTGTACCGCAAGCGCGTGTAAGTAAATTTATTTAGAATAAAAAGTTTGTTCAAATTATCCATTTTGATTTGCAGCTATTTTGCTATTTCTCGCCGTATGCATTTTTGGTGGCTGCGCCTACCGTCGTGATTGGCTTATGTATCCTAAATTTAATGTACTCGGCTGGTCCTATGCCGTAGCTGTTGTGTCATTTATATTTCTCGGAATAGGCGCTCTGATTTTACATCGCGAGGCACGTTATGCTTATGATTTACGCGGCGAACAGAAAAATTTAGTAATGCAAATGGAAATGCAAGAGCCTGGCTATCAGCCGCCAAGGCATCATCATAGTACATCACGCAGTCTGCATGGATACATATAAAAAGGGCAAAAAGCGAGCAGCATTTTCAATTCAGTGCTTTGCTACGAAGCACTTTTTTATTCCATTTTACTACTTTCGATTAGTTTTAAGTATGTGTTCACAAAATGTAAACGATAATTTTTTTTTGTATTTCCTAACAAGTTATGCAGACTCTCTTAATATGCACTGAACAAACCAACGGCAGTGTTTATTTTATTTTGAAATCGATAACTTTTTTCTAATAGCATAAGTACCCACATTCTAAGCAAAGAACTGCCTAAGATTTATAGCTAATTTCATTTACTTTTTAGCTAATTGAAGGAATGTTATATACATATCTACATTTACATATTATTTGTCTTTGTACCTTGAATATTTACAAAATCAGCTTTTACATTTTCAACAACTACAAACCGTCCAAAATTGTATACACATTTTTATACACAATCAAATTAATTAACTTTAGTATGTAGTTCAATGCAAAAATTATGCAACACTGTTGTATGCTCGAATATTAAAATATATTCCTTTTATAATAAAGACAATATACAAATAAATTTTACGAGATTATAAAAACGGAAGCATTAAAATTGTTCCTTCGCATTACCGAGCATTTAAGTGTCGTTCGATGGGCAGCCGATGCCATAAGTTCGCTTTTCTTGCTATTGTAATTTTATGCCGCTTTGAAAATCAATAATTCTTTATATTGTGGTGCAATACATATTCAATAACTCATGAATCAACCCATGTAGCACATTCAAGCATACATAAATATGGTGTTGTTGGATCGTTATCATAACTCTTATTCTGCCCTTGCCTGGAACTGATAACACTGCATAACAAGTTATTGTAGAAATCATTCACAGCGATTGGCCAAAATGTGAGAAGTTATTGACTATTATTGCTCATTCGAAAAGCGCACCTCACGCGTGTTCATGCATAGTGCTTTTGTGTGAAAATAATACATTTTAATTCTAAAGGTTTTAAGTGCTTTTATAATGAATTTTCGCACTTTTGTTCTCATTGTGCTTTTTGCTCTTTTTGGAAAATGTAAGCGATCTTTTAAATAACAGGAATAAATTAGTAACGAAATGCGATTTGAATGTGTTACCACGATTTTAGCCTAAAAAGTGGTGTGAATACTGAAATACTTTTACGCATTTATTTGGTCCATAACATTTTTGAATATCAAGCATCCTAATCAGAGAGAAGAACGTTTGTGTACTACATTATTAATTTCCACTTAGAAAGATATACCGCTTACATACCGCTATACTAAAAGTATACTAAAAATGTGTGACAAATTAAAAAACGGAATTTTTAAGATTACAGATACAAATCAATAAATCAATATGAATAATCATATCGTTACTTTACTTAACAAACCTTTTTTCGAAACTGCGTTTTTCACAGATTTTGGTAGGATGTATTAAAATAAACCATCAATAAAATTTTGAAAAAACAACGGAGTTATATGCCACTGTTTGAAAAGCCCTAACTGTTTTTGATATTGATTTTATGTTTTTTGATTCTGTAAAATAAAAAATTTTTTGCTTAGGGCCTTTGTGAACTCAGGTGACGATATGTAATGAGCAAAACATACTAATGGGGAAACCCTTAATAAAAAATATTAGCAATTATTATTATTGCCGAAATGAGTATGGCAATTTTCCCATTCTTTTATCTTATATATGTATGTACGTACATACACATGTATACATAAATTGTATGACTCAATGCAGCCGTTGAGTTATCATGCTCTCGAGGGTTGTTGTTGTTGTAGCGGCTTTTGTATCATTTCGCGGGTTTGCATATTACAGTACTATATTGTATTGTAACGCATCTTTACAAAATTTTTAAAAAGTAAAATAAAGTAATGGGGCATTGTATGTAAAATAGGAAAACGATATAAATTTAAAAATGACTGGAATTCACTAATAAGTTTAAAAATAATTAAAAAATTTAAATTTCTGTCTTTGGAAAATATTATTTCATAAATGTTTCCCTCTTTTTTAATGCATGCTTTTAAATTAAATATATTTCAAAAAAATATATATATATATTTTTTAAATATTAAAAACCAACTTCTACCATGGGAACTGAAGCTAAGCTAGAACTCCACACCTGGCACAAGGACCTTGGTGTTATAATAAAAAATTTTATTTCCAGCAAAACAGTTATGCCTGCATTGATGTAAAGCTACCATTCTACAGTAGAAGCCGCTGCACGGCATAAATATTTTAAAGTTTAAGTTATAGTTAAAGTTTTAATTATTAATTTCCAGCTAAATCAGAGAATGACGCAAAGATCAATCCGCGTATTATAAATGGTGTAGAGGCTCCCGTGGGGAGAACAAAATTTCAAGTTTCCATACGACTAAAGGCACACGATCGAGTTTTCGGAAGCGGCCATATTTGCGGAGGTTCACTCATTGGACCGAATAAAGTGCTGACAGCCGCACATTGTCTCTACAAGTGAGTGATTTAAAAATAAAAAAAATAAAAAAAAATATCGAAAGGTATTTTAATACAAATAAATAAAATAAAGTCAAATAATTACATATTTGTGTATATAAATATATATACATACATTCGTACATATGTACAATAGAAAAAATAATAATTAGGTATGTTTCTAAAATAATTGATTTAACATTTTATAAATTAGATGCATAAAAAATAAACCTAACTTTATTTATTTTTATCACCTTTCAGTTCAGATAGAAAGCGTTACCGCAAGGCGAGCGAATTTATTGTTGTAATGGGCACACAGAATCGCTACACGCGTGTCAATGGTACTATTGTCTCAGGCGTCAGCTCGATTGCCTATATGAACTCCTTTAGTTTGGATACTATGCGTGATGATGTTGGCGTAATGTTTCTGCAGACTGGTTTGCCAGTAAACAAAACACATCTAACAGTTGCGCCGATTGGGCTAAGTAATTACTCGATACCGGCGGGTACGCAATGTCAAGTTTCAGGATGGGGTAAAACTTCGCAGGTGAATAGTATTTACAAATGTTCTTTTTATTTACATACATGAATTTTATTTAGTATATACAGTTAATCTGGCTCTGTTTGTAGGTGTACTTGGAAAAAATTGCACACAGGATAAATATGGTATCATGCTGTTCAGAAAAATATTTTAATCAAAATAAGAAAGTGTGCTATCTCTCAATTTGACAAAATATTTTGTAATTAATTAATTGGCAATTACCAATTTTTAAAAAAACCGGGTTTTAGTCCCGGCTACCAATTTTGAGAAAAGCGAAGTCATCACGCATATTCCTTTTGTTATGGCTATAATGAAATAGCTTTTTTTGCACCGGTTACTGACTTAGAAAAATCGAAGGTTTTATCACCGGTTGTAATTCAAAATTTAAATTTTTGGAGATTTCATCATGTAAATAATAAGCTTGATAAAGAGAATATGTTAGACCTAAATGAGTTAACTCTACAAGAATGGCGAAGATATGTGTCTTTCCGTATGTCTTCTGGTATACCATGATTCTTTTTTAACCTGTGTGGAATTTTTTCCACCTTAAGTGCTGTATTGACTACACTACATATGTATATACATTGACTCAAACAATACTTACAACGTTTTTCTAGTTCATTTTTTTTTTTGTTTTGTTTCAAAGTTTCCAACCTTATACAAAGTTTAGGAAAATTCAACAAATTTTCATCAAAATTTTGAGCTTTTTAATCTGAATCTTACAACATTTTGGGCATGCAGTTTTATAGCCCATACAGTTTTAGTCTCAGAAAGTGCAAGTTTCAAGCGACTAAAAAACCGCTTGCCCTTTACCATTTTTTTCGTACATTTTTCCATATGAGCAGTCACCAAAAAAAGTTCTCAAAAATCAACGGGATTTTTAGCCCCTAGAAACTTGCACTTCATTAGACTAAAATTGTATGGGCTGTAGAACTGCATTCCCAGAAATGTTCTAAAAATTAAAAAAAACTCGAAGTTTTGTTGAAAATTTATTAAGTTTTACTAAATTTTGTCTAATGTTTGAAACTTTGATTTTTATGGATTTGGGTAAAGCTTCGACAATATTTGTGTAAAAAAATAACAACAAAAATTTGACTTGAAAAACATTGGGAATATTTAAAAAAGAAGGTCAATACGTGAACACTTCTTTGAGTCACTGTATGTATATATATATATATATATAT